TCTCTCTCTCTCTCTCTCTCTCTCTCTCTCTCTCTCTCTCTCTCTCTCTCCTCTCTTCCACCTCTCTCTGTCTCTCTCCTCTCTCTCTCTTCTGTTTATCTCTGTCCATCTCTCATTTTCTTTCTGTATCAGTCTCTAATATACAGTTTTAAATATTGATTTTCTCACCAAATCTTTTGACTATTTTACAGAAATATATTTTTCGTGAAGAATATTATTGATACTCATAAAAGATATTTAAATGTTACTTTACATTACAATAGCCATGTATTTTTGTATCAACTCTTTCAAATACCTACTTAGTAAGAAGGCAAATTTCCTCTCCTTAGTATTTTTATTGCTGCATAGTTTTCTGAGTCCAAAATGTTAGAATACAAATGAAAAGGATTTGATAATATTAACAGAATTTCTGTGATTTCCTGTACTTAGCGTTTTAATGTGAAGTTGGCACTAGGCAATTTATCATCATATACATAACATTTTGATTACATTATTATACCTATAAACATACTATGAAGGCATTAAAGAAATGTAGCTATCCCTTATCTGCTCTAACATTTACAGAGAAATGAAATGATATGTGTGCTTTTATTTACCAAGTTGTGATTTTTATTTTTTTTTATAGCTATTGTTGTGCTGTATGTAGCACTGAGGAGGCAGAGGAAGAAAGACACCCTTATGACCTCTAAAGAAGACATCAGAGACAATGTCATCCATTACGATGATGAAGGAGGTGGGGAGGAGGACACCCAGGCCTTTGACATCGGGGCACTGAGAAATCCCAAGGTGATCGAAGAGAACAAAATTCGCAGGGATATAAAACCAGACTCCCTCTGTTTACCTCGCCAGAGACCACAAGTGGAAGACAACACAGACATAAGGGATTTTATTCACCAAAGGCTACAGGAAAATGATGCAGATCCAGCTGCCCCCCCATATGATTCCTTGGCCACTTATGCTTATGAGGGGAATGGGTCAGTGGCAGAGTCACTCAGCTCCATAGACTCTGTCACCACAGAAGCTGACCAGGACTATGATTATCTATCAGACTGGGGACCGCGCTTTAAGGTCTTGGCAGACATGTTTGGAGAAGAAGAGAGTTACAACCCCGACAATGTTACTTAGGAGAGAAGAAAAGGCTGATACACATCTAGAGGAGAAAGTTTTGACAAAAAAAAAATAACACAGATGAAACACAAACAGACAAACACACACACACACGCACACACACACACACATGCACACACACACACTCAAAGATTTTGCAGGACAAGACTTTTTTGATTATCCAGTTTCTAACAAGTTGCTCTATGTATCATATTGCCATTTTGGTTTATTCTGTAGACACAAGGTGAATCCTGTATTATGTACTTGCTTTTGTTTTGTTTTGTTTTGTTATTTCAGAAACACACTGAGACGAGCTCAGGCCTATTAAATGCAATTCACTGACACATGACAACCTAGAATGAAGATAGCTATATGGCGTCACAGTGGAAGAGTGTGTGATTTTTCTTAATTCCACTAAAGTGCCTATTGAAACTCTTATCATTATAGTGGTGTTCATAACACTCTGCTGTGATCGCTTTGCAGGCAGGAGTCAGAAATAAGGAGGGACAAAGCAGAGAGTGTGTCTATTAAGGAGCAATAGTGACATGCTGACTCTCATTTCTTTCAAGAACAGAGAAGCATACTTCCCACACTCCATCTTCTTACATGACAAAGCTTCTCCTTCTGTAAAGTGTAAACTAAAACAAAAATGCTTTTCCTATACTTTCAGAAACTGGAATAAATGAGACATTATTAAATTCAAAATGTAAGGTACGAATTCTAAGTGCAATGCTTAAGTCATAGCATTAGTTCATGTAAAGGATGTTAATTAAGCTTTGTTAGTCCCCCCCCCCCAAAAAAAACAAATAAAATTATACAGAAGGAAACAAAAAGAATCCCTCTTTATAAAGGGAGGCCTCAGGGCTCAAATTCCAGCATTAAATAAATATCGATTTGTTTAATTCTATACTGGTATGTGGACATTGGTTTAAACAAGTCATCAAATCATTTAAACTTTCAGTCATAGATAAAATTTCAGCTTGTGTTTCTACTGAAAGGAAATATACTATTAATTTAAACATGAGAAAAATTCAACATTGTGATTCTCAGTTTCTGTCCAGTGGTTCTTTGGTGAATACTTAAAATAAAATACATATCAAATAGTGTAATTTACAACAAGTATATATGTTTATTCTATACTACTGAACAAATAAGTCAGGGACCTCAAAAATAAAACCAATGACTAAATCCCAAAGGGAGAAAAACTTCAAAGCCAGGCAGCTGATTCACTTTCTTTAGTGATGTAGATTTTAACTTTGTGAACTCAGTTATTATATATCAGCCCAGAATCACCTCTTCATTATCTCATTTACAAAAATCCTTATGTAAATTATTCCTTAAAACTTTTCAGATAAAACTTGTCCAGTTTATGGAAATGTCTAAGAAATGATAGAATTTGTGACTATATTAGTAATAAACATAGTTTAAATGAATTCCATGTGGATTATTCATCATTTAGGCAGTCACAGGATGCAACAAATGCAAACTTATCATAAAGTAACATCTATGCTTAACAATGTAGTTGGAACAACTGACAGCTTCTACCTATAATATACATAGGAAAAAATTAAAGATCTGTGTACCGCATATGGCTAATATCTAGTTTTGTGATAAATTTCTGTGAATATTATGAATATTTGTGAGGCTGTGAAGATAAAACTCACACACTATGAAATCTAAGAAATTTATAAAATTAGACAACTTAATTTTAGGCATATTCTAAAATGCATATTTTAAATTATTTACGGTGTCAAAATATGCCCCCTTGTTTCTGTGTTCAACATTTTTTAGACTCTCTTTCTCCCTTTTGGAATGGGAGATTTAACCTTTGTTTTAAGTCAGCACTCCATACCTCTCTTGTTCCAATTTTCATGTAATAAACAAATGCATTCAATATTTTACATTTGAGAAAAAAACTGTTTTATAGATCTTATAATTACCATGCTAGAGAAAAAAATTAATATGACTTGTTTCTTATTTCATTATATATAGCAAATGTCTTTGACAAGACATAAGACGGTCTCTTCGTGAAGTTGCTAGCAGAAACCATGATGACCTGAAGTTTTGAGAGGCATATGGTTTTAAACCATGTGACTAAAAAGATAGTAAAATATGCAATGTGTGGCTTTTAGTTCTCATCACATTCATATCTTTGTAATTTCCTACATTATTTCACTAGCTCAAAACAAATGATCACCTACAAAGTGTCTTTCAACAACAGCAGTTTATTTCCTCAGCTCTGATAGCAGGTTTCCTCTGAACATCTTCTCCTGGTTATGGGGAAGACCACATTTTATGTCCTACTTGGTCTCATCTCTGTGCTTGCTTCTGTTTCTCTTCGCACAAGGGCGCTTTTCATATTAGAGCAGCATCTACCCACAGGACCTCTGTTTAACTTGTTTAATAATAAGGGCCTTACCACCAAATCCTATTTGGGTTGGTACTACAGCATGTGGATTCATGCAATCCCAACCTGAAGGTATTAATAATGTTTATTTTCTAAACAGCATTTTACTTACAACAATCAATGTGAGAAACATAAAGATAAATAAGCAGAATGATAAAAATAATATATGATGTGGAAAGGTGATCAATTGGTGCTTATAAGTAGAGGAACTATGATATCTTTTAGGCTACTGAAAGGACTAAGTCCAGTATTTCAACACATATAATACCTTGGGAAGTTTTTCATTCATAGAACAGGTGTTGACTTTCATTCAAGCATTAAGCAATATAAAAATGTTTAAAATTTGTATGAATGATTTTATCTATATGCGAACAGCAATTTTGTTATTGGCTTGCATGTCTATCTTTATAGAGCTACATGTGTATATATATATAACTTATATGTTGCCTTCAATGCTATTCTAAGAAGTGTATAGTCAGCATCCTAAAGTGAAGCAGTGTTGATTGATATACTACACATAATCTGTGTGTTTTGGACCATATCCCCCTTTTGACTCAAAACATCTGATGGATCAAATTCCTTGCCTTCATTCTTTTATTTTCTTTAGTAAAACCAGTTTTCTATATTCAGTGTTGTGTACAATTAATCTGAAACTTTATTGTCATTAAATTATACCAATGGTTAAAGTATATCAAATAGCTTACCTACAGAATGCTAATTTTAAGATGCACAAATACTTTCAGTCATAGTACATACATTTTTGAATCCTGTAGGGATTTGATTGATCATTTATCAAAATTCACGAGTTCTACTAAGAAAACCATGCAATTATCAGTATATCTTTTTTATCAACATACCTGAAAGTTCTTCTATGAATTCAAGTGATAAAGAAGCGTACATGAAGAGAGAAAAAGGATCCTAGAATACGTACTTGTAGATATTTTGAGGTTGTTCTTTTTTCTGAAATATTGTGCTAAAATTTCAACACCTGTAGAAAATCTAGGGTCAGTATGCAACACCATGGTACAGTAGTTAATTTGCATATGCTCTGGGTTCCATCCCAGGAGCCACAAATACTGAAAAATAATAATAATGGTGTTGATAATAATGAAAAAATAGCCTAAAGCAGATGTAAGTATGAAAACTTGGTATTTTAGTGGATTACTGATTAAACCTATTCCTAATAACAGAGGTGTTTTCAATTAGTAGCGCATTATGCTCCTAGCTAAAAAGACTGATTGCATGAAAGAAGATTATTTACATGAGATCCTATGCTTGATCATTTTTCTCCTTAGCCTCTAAAATGTGCTAGTTTGGCTAGCTGTCCAAAATTTATTCACAACCATTGTTTCCTCAGTACATTAAACACACTTTGAGGGGTTGAGAATTTGCTCAGATTTCAAAGAACCTGCTGCTCTTCAAGAGGATCTGTGTTCATTTCCAGAATTCATATCAAAATGGCTCAGAGCTGTCATTAAGTCCTATATCAGGGGATTTGATACCCACTTCGTGGATTAAAAGACACCCAGATAAACATATGCAGATATCTGCATGTGGATAAACACATATTCATGTGATTAAAAGTAAAAAAAAAATAATTATTTCGAAATGGTTATTTTTTCTCATATTCTACCATCAACTCACTGATGAAAGAGAAGGATGCTTATATCCGTCATTAATGAAAGGACACACAATATTGTGTATGGGTTTATTAATCATTGTCTTACTCTCAGTCTTAAGAAGTTTCAGGTTAAGTCAGAATGCACCTTTTGTCATTCTCATGATTTAATAATCACCCTTTTAGTACAAAGGCTTTGTACTCTGTGAAATTTTCCTTTATTCTTTCTGGTTGTTTTTGTGTGTTGTCTTTTTTATTGTAATTTTAATTCTTGATTTCTTTTGCATATTCCATATCTAATAGAAAATTGTGTTATCTTTTTAATTTCATATATACATATGAAATTAAATATATATAATACATATTATTTTGATCCTCTCATCTCCCATCTATGTCTTTTATTTTCTTGCATATTTTGTTATATCTTTGTTCTGTTTGCTTTTGTTCTATTTTAATATCAATACCATATTAGTTTTCTTTTGAGGTTTTTACTGTTTTAATTCTAGCTCCTTATAAAGTTGTATATTCATTTTTCTGAGTTGAATGGACAAAGAGTATAGGGAAAGAAATCATGTTATGTTATACTTTCCTTGAAACATACCTTCAGCATCATTCCTTATTCCAATTTGTGCTTTGCTCAAACCATCCAGGTTCTGAAATATTGGAGGCTCTTGTGACAATCTAAGCTAATAGACTGGAGGCTTCTCTGCTTCAACATGTGAAAATCCCACTGTCTATGTTCACTGTCATCTCATGATTGGACCATTAGTTCTCTACTCATATACTGCAAATGTCTGAGTGCTCTATGGAATATGTGACACTTGGCCTAGTGTCATAAAATCATTCACACACACACATATCCATGTATATGTAATATGCAATTGTATAAAGCATTGTTTTATAAAACACCTTTCGTTATCAGTTAAACAGTTACCATTATAATCTACCACTAAAGAGAGGTACAAACAAATATAAACAAAATCTGGAAAACATTCTGATCTTCTGACCTTTCTGACAAGCACTTTTTTGTATTAAAACAACCACACTGAACAATTTGTTCCTGTTTATTTATGTATGTATAACACATATGTGACTGACTATAGTAAGCTGATATTTAGTCTTGTGAA